AAACAACTTCTTACCGCACAAGACAAAGATTTAAATCTTTGGCACAAAACGTCACATACACATACGCATAATTAGAGCTGTAACTAAATCATTATCTTTTAGTATAACGCTGTTTAATTACAATAAAATACACTGAAATTTAAAATGCCAAAAACGATTTACTACTACTTTAGCGTAATTTCACATTCTACTGTAGAAAATTTATTGAAGAAGTTAGGTTGACATTTCCTCAGAATAATGACTACAATTTATTCCCTGAGATTATACCATGGACGAAGGATTCTCGGTACGTTTGATTGTGCTTTAAAAACTGACCGTTATATCTTTTTGGATATTTTGGATGTTTGAAGCAATCACGCATAAGCTTTGGATTAAATTTGCTTGGACACGTAGTTTATTTTTATGGGTTTAAGGCTCAATTAAATTTGGTCGGTAGTCCGTATTCGGGTTCACGAAAGACTTTACTCGACTTTGGGCACCCGAAGAAATATAATAATTACATTGGAATACGGGCTGGAAGTAGGCTTGCCAGATTTCCAGTAAATCCGAGATTGTACCGGAATTTTGCGTCGTCTCGTGTCCAGTAATTAGACCATATTGTGCCGGATTACGATAAATGTGCTAGTTTACAAAATAAACTAAAAACGAATGACACCGCTGTCCTGCTTGATGTTTTAATTCTGGGGGGTGATGGGGGGTTTGATTTGATGCTTTATTTTTTCAGGTGGTGGGTAGCAAATGTCCCGGAATTAATAAGCCAGCATCTGGCAACCCTAGCTGGAATAAGGTGTCGGGTAAACAAAACGAAAACTACCCGAATACGAGTATATATTACACGAGTCTTTTACCCGAATTCCATTGGCTCGAATACGAGTGTATTCATCATAAATCATCAAAAATTAAATACAGAAGATAATACTACCAAAAGTTAGTATCGTTGTCGTTTCACTGTTATGTTCTGTAAGGTGGAGGTTACCCGAACAGGCTCTTCGGTTCCATTTGAAAATCTGCTATGCCATATCTCTATATGCTTATTAGTGCTATAAAAGGTTACAAAAAAGTTAAAATTCATGCTAAAATCAGTCGAAATAAACTCTTTCTGTGATCCCCTTTAAAGCTAAAGTTAAGTGTCAACGCGATATAACTAATCGCTTTCCCAATCATAACTGTAAAGGGATCCCGGAACGAGAAAAAGTTACACACAGCTAGGCCACTAATATTATTACCGTGACTGGGATGTAGACCTAATATCTACTTCTGGGTAAAGCTTGATTTTAATTTATAACTAGCGACCGCCCGCGACTACGTCCGCGTTAACTTTAGTTTTTTGCGAAACCCTCAAAGGGTCCTTTAGGCTGGGGGTATGTAGGTATGTTGTGTTCCTTCGAGCTTCATAAGATAAATCAGCTGGCTCTGTAGGGATGATATTCATATTTTAATTTTACGACACATTCGGTTCGTCATTTGACAGATAAAAACGTCAGTTTACTTATATAGGTAGGTACCTAACTACTTACATCAAACTCAATAATTGAATTTCAAAATTTTCGAACTCAATGGGAGTTGGTGTTAGATAAATTCAATCAAGGGGAAGGGGCAGATTACATTATCTATACATATAATAAAATGGTAGGAAAGTCAAAATTGTAAATTGAATATTTTTTAAAAGAATACTTGGGGTGTGATCTACAATCGATACCGAAGCCAAAAATATAGTTTTTAGAATTTCTGTCTGTTTGTCCGGGATAAACTCAAAAAGAACGCATGCAGACGAAGCGACGACGAACGAAGCATGGATTTACTTCAAATTTGGCACGAATATTATTAAGAAGTCGGGTCAACATATAGGCTACATATTATCACGCTATCACCTACGGGGAACGAGCAGTGAACCTTTATTTCTAACTAACTCCACGCGTACGAAGCTGCGGGCGGCCGCTAGTCTACCTATAATATATTCTTTACACATTTCTGTAAGTTTTGGTGTCATCTTTTAATGGACACCGTATGAATTAAGAGCGGACGCGAGCTGAGAGAAATTTGATAAATAAGTATTTGAAAAAGCTATTAGTGTCACTATTGCCAAATACTTGCGAAATCCGAGGTTTGGCTCTCGACGATTTCCTCCTCGAAAATTAGTTACCTACCTATATGTAAAAGAAATTTTACACGATGAATAATAAGTAGTTAAAGTAGGTATGCCTCTATGTTTTGATTTTTTTGTAAATGCTTATTTAATCTCCACACTAGAAGTCTTTAGCGGCGATAAAAAATCGTTTATTTTAGTCTTTTTTCGAGGGCTTCTAGTTTCTTTAAAAGTCAAGTTGATAAAACGAAAACATAGGAGCATCGAATGAGTAAAATTATAATTTATGTATGAAAATCAATTCTTTAGTGATTAAAATCAAGGAGGAATCAGTCGGGAATGTTTGTATGAAAAAAACAGTGCGCGCCATAACAGGGAGAAAAATGCAGACCTTGTAGAGTTCCACGCCGGTTCTTCTTAGTAGGATATGGTCTCCCGCCGGAAGCACATACGTAAGGCCGTAGATTTCGTAAGCCATTCAATACACCACACAGAAACGTCAATTAACAGTTATTTTTCGTGAAAATTAAATTGAATAAGATGACACGTGACGTGACCCAATGAAACCTTAAATTATTGAATTTAATTGACGTCTCCGAGTGCGACTGTAAGAAAATAAACAGGACAAGGTGAATTACTTTTAAATGATAAAGGAAGTCAGTGACCTTTTACTTTTCGGCAACCCAATGGTAATGAAATGTTTGCATAATGGTAGCAGACCTCCCACCTTAAACTGTACACTTAGCCTTGCATAGTTAATATAAAGCTTCTATAAACTCATTGCTGGTTATACAGCAGCAGCGAAGAGTTTATTATAACTTCATTAATATGTATTACAAGGATATAATCCTTGGTCACAAGAACTTCACTCTTAAACACTGCTTCAGTTTCCGGTAGAGACCAAACATTATTTAAACAATATTTGTTTACAAATTACTGAATTTATAATAATGCAAAGCAGATTAAAATATAACTACAGATGAGTGTGCTCTGTGCTACCTGCTTGCCTACTTTTTATTCTTGTATCAAGTTTGTGAATGATTCGCGTGCTTTTGATATAACTTACAATACATACGGATACTAAACTAAGCACTTTTGAGCTTTTGAATGACCCAAAATATATTCTATGAATTGTAGATTGTTTTAAAAGTGTTTTATAAATTATATAGTATTAAGTTTTATCACATCACAAAGGTTAGTGACTTTCGAGACACCTGCGTGACAGGTTGCATCGAAGCAAGCGAACTTACCTCAAAAGTTTTTTCTATGATAACTCCAATCCTCACGGCTTCCGGCTGCCTTAAATTCATACACTAACACAATAAACACTGCACACTTAACTTCACCACTTAGATAATCACACAAAAATACAAATAAGTTATTTCGCGAGTTTCGGAACGACGCACCACGGAGCGCAACCGTAATATCACACCGAACAGCAAAAGCAAACTGAAAACTCATTCAACAATTTCTCAAATCTCCCGAGAAATGGTACCAGACTCCATCTCGCGAGTATACAGCGATACTAGGTACATCAAAAGGTCAGCATGCTTTGAAAAAATATACTTTTAAAAAGCAATGCATGTAATCTATAGTACCCACGCCAATCACTAGATGGCCTTACATAAGAAAAATAGAAATAGACGTTGCTATTGCAATCTTTGCTTTGCTAATAAAATGCTGAATATTAAATAACCGCTTATAACAATTAATTGCAATCAACTAAAATACGTATTCTGAAACCAGTTTTTTGAATAAATCGCGAAAAGCAGTTAGTTGTTGGCAGCGCCATCTAGTTTATGTTGTGAAACTAAGTTTTTAACTTGCAAGGTTCTTAATTATATGTAACTAGCTAGATTTCGTTATCGAACCATCTTAAATTACATTTTTTATAATGATCTACTGTTGTACTTTACAAAGCACAAAGCACCAGCTGACATTTATTAAGAACTAACAAAATTGAGTTCTGTTGACCAATGTTAGAGTGTGAATGTTAAAGGAGAAAGCGACCATTTTTAGGATCACACAGAATAAAACTTAAACATTGGTATTATGGTATGAACAAATTTTTGCTTGCTTCAATAATGCCCGCTCATCTCTGTTTTCTTAACTTTGCTCAAATAAGGTCAAGACTTTAGCACCACAATAAAAAAACAAAATAATATTCCATTGATTTCATTACTTATATTTTAAATACATAAAATACAATATATGCCCAGATAGCCCAAGGGTTCAGGTTCAAATTTCTGATACCTGGACTGACTGGAGGTTTTACTAGTATTTTTTTATATACAATAATTAAAATAAAATCAGTAGCAATATGATACATGTTCACTTTTTATATTATTAATAATTTTATCACCCATCTTCTGATTCTGTTTCAGAATCACTCGGGGGCCACATTGGCTTATCATCTTTAAGTTTTCCTGCATTTTCTAGAAACTGATTTTGAGCTTCTATTACACTTTTACTGTCTGCACAATTTGCATATAAATCCAATACTTCGGAATTCAATTCTAAAAAGGAATGACCCCAGGAAAACTTTGAAAGGTAAAACTTTGCTTCACTCTTATGACCTGTAATGAACATTGCACCTGCTAAAGCTTCTACACAGCTCAGCTGATATGGTTTTCCATAGTTGATCGGATTAGCCGCAACTAAAAATGGTAGCAGACGAGGATGGTTAGATTTCATGCGTCCAAATGGAGTTTCATCAATCTTTGCCCATGAGCAATCAATCACAGCAAGACCAAACTTCTCTATAATGTCTTTATCTGATGGACTGACACATTGCGTACCGACTGGTGACAAAACCAGCCCTTGAAACCTTTGACCGAGTTTTAAATTCTTAATAAGGTTATGTCTCAGTAGTTTTCTTCCTGAACATTTCTTGGGGTCACAGTGGTTTAAGTCCCACATGCTTACAGTGAATGAAGGTGCCACACCTTCGTCATCCGAAGAATCATTTGAACTATCTTCTGATGACTCTATAATTAGATCATTTAGTCGCTCTGCGTAATCACGTTGTACATGATGGTTTGTTCGTTTATTATGTACGGTGCCCCTTTTTTTAGGAGGCATACTGGGAAGTGTACTGTTATTATTTATTTAAGGGTGTGATATGATAAAAAATATTACCTTCACAATCACAACAAAAACATAATCAAAATTAGCAGTGTTTTTTTTTTTTGTTGAAGTTCTCCCGTTTTAGGGAAGGCAAAGGGAACAATGCCCATACAGCCTAGTCTTTAATTAAATTAATCTTTTTTTTGTTTTTACATTAGAATGTCGGTGTGACGCATTCTAATGTTTCTTGGAGTATTTGGCACGAAATGTATCGAGTTGGCTTTTTCGACAAAATTAGCAGTGTGTGACACTGTGAGTGACAGTTTGTTTTTTTTATCTTTTTTCCCCATTTTGGGAAAGGCAAAGGCAGAGCCATGCAGCCATAGTCTTCATTTAAAGGTTTTTTTTTTGTTTCTTTTATGTATAAGGCCGTGTCACAGTTTGATGATCACACAATTGACAACTCTTTGACATTGATAGTTGCCATGAAGTTTGACAGAGTTGCCGTATTCGATACATCGGATTGCCGTATTTTTAAATAAAAACATGGTAATGATGTCGATTCTGGCATGATTCTCTAAAGCTAAACTTAAATTTGACAACAGTGCATCCTTGTCATTCTCTATACAGAATGAAAAGGAGAGACTGATGTTAAATTTAGTTTTAAGTTTAGAGAATCACTCTAGAATCGACACCTTGCCGTATTACTTAATTAAAATTTATAGGTAGTTAGTAACTAATTAATAGTAAATATATTATAAAGGAAACAAAAAAAACCTACTAATTAATATCATCGCTATACAGATTTCTAATAGACTTAATCATTTCGCTGTCGTGTTTATTTAAACAATATTTGTCCTTGTTTTTAATTTTCACACACATGACACGGAATGGCTGAAATGTTGTACAATTTACATGATTTCTGATGGCTTCGCCAAAAGAGTTCCATTTATAGTTTCAGTAACTAATTTAGTTATACTGCACGTGGATTCCCAGTAAGGATATTTTCTCTGTGCTAGGGATATCCCTAAACTACATTTTTTTACGAGATTTTGTTGGAATCGTAATGAACTCATAACATTATCCTTGTAAATCAATTCAAAACAAAATTGGATTGCCGTATATTATTAAACGGCAATGACAAACCTGCTGTATGCCGTATAATCAGAAATTGTGAGCTGAAATTGTCGTATATTACGGTAATTGCCGTATCAATGGCAACGTTGCTAGGGATGGACGATATACCTACATTGATGTATCGTACAGACTCGATGTATTTTAAAGATGTTCTCCGTATTAATCCGATGCACAGTGGAAACCATAGATAGAACGCCATCGCCGTCTCAAAAATGTTTTTTGAGAAAGCATATTTTTCTGTATCCTCTTGCCGGAAATCATTACTTTAATAAACGTACTATGGAATTTTAATTGTTTTTAAGTTTTATTTAAGATCGAATTTGTCGCCAAAGTACCATGCTTCCGAACCAACCTCTGAGTACCTACTGAAACCTATGGAGATGACATACCTACGAAAAAACGTGTATATCTAAAGTTGCTAGGAAATGAAAATGGTGCCTTTGCATTATGCTGCCCCATTGTATATCGATATCTTTATGAACACAAGTAATTTTGTGACGATATTTTGATATTCTATAAAAGTGATTGTTTACATTGAGATTTTTCTAATATTGGTGGGATATTACACACATATCATGTCGTAAATAAAATAATGTGTGTGTTTATTACCTCTACTGCTAAACGGCTGGAAGGATTTGAATGAATAGGTACCTATTTTATTAACCACGCCACGTGAATACCTATAAATAAAGTCCTATAATAAAAGTGATTATTCTTTAATTTAATATATATATATATATACTTGTTGTGGGCCCCCGTTTCCGCACGTAGACTCCGTACTTGGTCCATTGTGCGTGCAGGGTGTGTTGGGCTAGCTAGCTCAGCCAGCCCAGCTCCTTCCAGAAGCGCAGTAGCCTCCTGGGGCTCTCACAGGCTTCTAGGAGCGTCCTCGGCTTCCTGAGGATTGATGCCCGGTGTTCTGCAACGCTCGTGCATTCCAGGATCACATGAGCGGCCGTTTCATCTGCTTCCAGACATCCTCTGCATAGAGAGCTATCTGTAACGCGTATGGTTAGTAAATGCTTGTTAAGTGGGCAGTGCCCTGTTATGGTGCCTAGCATTACTCGGAGATCATTTCGGTTAAGATTTAGTAGTTTCCTAGTTAGTCTGGGGTTGAGGTTGGGAAGAATATCCTTAGATTGCCTGCAGCCCTCGGTATTCGCCCAACGGGTATTATGGTTCTGTGTGGTTCGTTGCCGCATCCATGTACGAAACTGATTGAAGGGTAATGGCAGAAGTGGCTCAGGGCCTTCCACTTTCTGTGATGATCCCCTTCTAGCTAGTTCGTCGGCTGCGTCATTACCCACAGAACCGCTATGTCCCTTGATCCATTGGAGGATAACCTTGTTATCCGTTGCTATGTGCTCCAATGCCAGGTGACATTCGTATACTAGCCCAGAAGATTTGCTGTTACTATCTAGGGCTCTTAGGACAGCCATACTATCAGATAATATACGTATCTTGTAGTTTTTGACTTTCCTATTAATGACAGCGGTGGCGGCCTGAGTAATGGCTATACATTCACATTGAAATATTGAGCTGTAATCACCCAGTGCTGTTGATATATGGATGTTAAGGTCCAGTGAGAAGACTCCTGCGCCTGATCCGAATCCTGGTATTTTGGATCCATCAGTGTAAATGCGTAGTTCGTCTGTGCCCGACCAGTCCTTGTTGGTTTCTAGTAGTTCTATTTGATATCTTCTATCAAATGTATGAGTAGTCGGGATTTTATCACAGCGGGCTGTTACCATAGGTTGGTATTGTATAGCCCTTTCCAGAATTCTGGAGTGAGATCCCTGGTTTACCGTCCACAAGCCCAGATGATACATTCTTAGCGCTGCCATAGTTGTTTCCTGTTGTATAAACAGGTCGAGTGGCGGGATGTCGAGCGCTATTTCTAGGGCATTTGTAGGTGTAGATTTCATGCAGCCTGTTATAGCAGAGCAAGCTAGTCTTTGAAAACGCTGCAGTTTATTAATTGTGGTGTTTAGTTCAGTTCTAGGCCACCAAACTATTGCACCGTAGGTGATGAGTGGTCTGATTATGGTTGTGTAAAGCCATTTTGTGATTTTTGGTGCAAGACCCCAGGTTTTACCAAGTAATCTTTTGCATTGCCAAAACGTGATACAGGCTTTGTTTATCTTTTGGTCTAAGTGGTTGTTCCATGTTAGCTTATGATCAAGAACTATGCCTAGATATTTGACCTCGCTTGACATAGACAGTTCGGTTTTAAATAACTTGGGCAATTTAACGGTATCCAAGTTACGTTTTTTCGTGAACATGACCATCTCTGTTTTGGTCGGATTCACCGATAGTTGATATATATATATATATATATATATATATATATATATATATTGCATAATAGATAGTGATAAATCTAAACAAAGGTGACAGAAAATATTGTTGAATTTTTTTCTATGTTAAAATTTGTTTAAATATAATAATAAAAAAATAAAAAGCATACCAGCAATACCACCACCGCATGCATTACAAAATAAAACATTGAACATTATTCTACATAATCTTCAATGAAATCAATTAGAAAACAATTATATAAAAATACCATACAATACAAATATAAATACAATGTTTGTGAAATTTAGTAAGCCATTTCTTATTGCTGTCCTTGTATTTAATAACAGTGGTAGAATTTAACTTACGTTGAATAAAATTATCTCCGATAGTTACCGAAATTCAAATAGATTTTTCTCTCCCTACAACTCTTTTCTCCAGTATATTTATGTGACCCTATATGCTTTGACCACAGCAAATAAAACATAACATGGATAAAAAGTATCGTCCTACGTCCGCCATGTTTGCTCCCCGATTTGTTTAATTAGGTAAACACGCGAAGTACATGCTTATGTCATTTCCATATGATATTTGTTCAGAGTTAAAAACGATAGTCACAAATTAAAAAAAATGCCACAAAACACTGCAAATGCAACAGACGTTGACAACCTATGTACCTGGTCACAGTAGGAACTCAAACAGGTGACCGGCCGCAAATAGGCATTTCAACGAGGTCACTTTATAATGTTTACGTTATTACATCAGGCAAATATAATGTTGTTTCTTTTCGCGTGGAGTATTGTAGCCGTAAGCATGGAGTTATAAAAAAAGGCGGACAGAGTCCCGGTAAACAATAAACTTTGTCGCTCAGAGTCGGCCAGGTCGCTGTACGTACAAGCCGGCACGCACACATTCACACAATAGTCAGCCACTACGCGTGCAAACGTCAAAGCAGCCGACACGTTACATGGAGATAAAATTAAGCTAAACAAGATATCTTGCTTGTAAAAAGGTGTAAAAACGTTAATGACCGAAAGAAAAAAAAATCCAGGAATCACGTTTCATAGGTAAATGAATAATTGAATCACTTTTTTCTAGTTTTTAGAAATCGAAATCAATTTTAATTCTAAGGACAAAATGATTAGTCTAAAGTCCAGTGTTGCCAATGTTCATGTAACCATATTACCTAAAATATGGGAAATTGGGTTGACATTAACTTCAATCTATTATTTATTTTTCTAGTTATATTTTCTTTAGATTTAAACATCAAGCAGTTACATGCTTTAAAAATAATAAAAATTATAACTATAATTGCTATTTCTTCTTTCAAATGTTTAATACTTGTAAAAGTATTCATTTGACATTGTGGGTTTACCTATAATGCGAAGAGATGGCGCTGCCTTGCAGCTTAAGAATAGCTAGAAAGAATTTCTACGCGGTCCGTGAGGGCCGCGGTAGCATAATTGGTCAGTGCATTCGCCCGGATTGCGAAGGGTGCGGGTTTGAGTCCCGTCTGCTGCCTGGTCCGCGTGGAATTTTTTCTAGTTATATTTTCTTTAGATTTAAACATCAAGCAGTTACAT